ATTTTGCTTCTGGCTCTAGTTTAAGTGAGAGGCTTCTAAGAAACTACTGAACCTTGACCAAGTACCATCAGAAAGAACAGCTCAGAGTTAAGACCAGCAGAAGACAGCAGCAGCAGAGATGGCCTCTCTGCTGAGGACTGGCTTCCCAGCAGACACCATGCAGAGAGCTTTCCTTGTGGTCTTATTTTACCCTTCCAGCATCCGAAGAAGTAGGTAGTGTTACCCTGTTTCCCAGATACGGAAACAGGCTGGGTGGTTCAGGGACTTGCTGGTAACTGGGTGGAGCTGAGATCTGAACTTGTGCTGTTTGGACTCCAGGTGCCTGTGGCTGCTTAGAAACCTGAATTTTTGGCAGATAATTCAAGCATTCAGGAGGGCAGTGTGAATATCTGTTCTCCGGCTTATTTTGGGGGGTGTATATAGTGTCTTCTTTCTCCACGTCTTGTATAGCTGCTGCCCCGAATGGCATTTTGCAGAATCAGAGCCGAGCCTCTGTTTGGTGCACATGGGGTCTCATATAATTTTTTAGGCCGCAGCTGCATTTTCCTTGTCTCCGCCATGTAATGCTCTGAATTTGGGCTGGGTTTTTGTTTTTATTATTTGCTTTCTAAGGGGACTTGATGGCGCAGATGGACAGCAGGTCCCCATGCTGTTCACTTCTTTGCTGCGTTAGGTTGGCAAGATTATGATATGTTTTTAACTGTTAGATCATAATCTTGAGGGAGAAAGTAATCTGTGAAATGTTAATACAGTTTTCAGCCTGTGGCATCAAAAAACATGCTCTGGAGAGAAGGAGCCTTTGTTCAAGGGAGTTGTCAGGTTTGAGTGGGTTGAAGCAGCAGATGAGGAACTTTTCACCTATAGTAGTGAAGTAATAGTGGCCTCGTTAGGGGCAGAAGAAATAAGGTGTGGAAAGGACACAAAACTCCAGCAGAAGCACCGCAGTCGGGGTGCAGACCTGCTCCATCGCTACACTGAGAACCCCCACGTACCCCCCCGCCCCCGTCCGCCCCACAGCGTCGCATTTGGTGACAGGAGGGGAAGTTGGGGGGAGTGGCAGAAGGTGGGGTTAAGAAGGGACTGCGGGTTCAGATCGACAGTGGGCGTGTGTGACATGAGTCTCAAGACGCTGTGTTTTCTGGGTTGTTTTAAGCAATGAAGGGGGACTATGAGCTTTAGGGGAGCTGAACTCTGCCCGCAGAGCGGATAGGGAGGTCCTGAGTCAGGTCTGCTGGAGGCTTAACTGCTGGGGGTCAGGTAGGGCGCGGCCGGGGAACCGCATGCTGAGGCAGTTTGGAGGTAGGAAAAGGGACTGAGGTGCAGGGTTTCCAGCTTTGGAAATGGTAGATAGTAACACTCTTAACAGTGGGGCCCACGAGGAAGGCCGGGGTGGGAGAGTCGGGCAGATGTGGAAGGAGAAGGTGGTAAACAGCCAGCAGAGACCTGTTGGCAGCAGGTGCGCCAGGCTGTGTGCCGCTGACTTGGTGGTGGCTGCCTGGGGCGCTGGGGTGAGGGGGATTCTGAGGCCGAGTTCAGCTCCAGGAGGAGAGTTCTGCCATTCACTTGGGATGCTTGCCAAGTTCAGAAGAGGGGGCACATCTGGTCCAGACCCAGCTGGACCGCGGTGCCCTCTCGCCTGTTGCTTGCTGCAGGGATGGTGATGTGATAAGGTGCAGGCATTAGAACACGTCAAATCTAGACGGTTTTCTTTGTCTTTTCTGGAGCTTGGCTTCAGCCCAGAGCAGTGTAGTGTGTGTGGCTGTGCACGTGGTACATCTGAAGCTCAGGAACTTTGAAAGTTGATTAGTGATGCCAAATGCATTTTTCATTGCCAGAAGTGATCAAAAGAACACAGTAATAGCTGTTCAGGTTTAAAAATATAAAATACTTAAGTCATCATAGGAGTATTTAAATGAATTCCCTCAAGGGATTATGAAACAGGCTGAGTTGCCCCAGAAGCCTGAGCTCCAGAAGGGAGACCAGGAACGGCCTCTTGGGCTTGGTATGGGGAGCCGAGCATTGTACCCTTGGACTTCCCCATTGGAGGAGTCAGAATCCTGAAGGTCTGGGGACCCTTGCGGCCACGTGGCAGGGGGGCTGCTGCTCGTGCTGTGCACATGCTTGTTCTGTTGCTAAGAGACCCCAGGCTTTGGGGCAGCTGGTCACCCCGAAACTTCCATATCCCAGTGAGAAATGTCTGTGGAACCCTTGATTCCAGACCTCCAGGCGGCACGTGCCCTTGGCTTTTCTGGTCTTCCCACCATGCGGAGCCCAGTGAAGGTTTTCCTGGGCTTGTTGGGAACGGGACTTGGGAGCATTTTCAGAGCCCAGACCAGTGCCTGGGGCCCCCTGACCTGCGGGAAATGCGTCTTCTCATTATTTTGATCAGTTTTCAAGGATCCTGTCCTTAGGGTGATTATGCATAACAGTGCCCTGCTTTTCCTACATCTTGAAAAATAAACAAGACAAGGTGTGAGTGTGTAGAAAGACGCAGGATTTAGTGGACTAAAGATTAAAGAGACAGATGGCCTGGTGTTGTCATGATGAAAAGGGTGATGAAAAAAGACGAGAAAATGAAGCTACGAGAAGTAGGAAAACCAAGTGTCACTTCCTGGAAGTTTTCACTTAACCCTGAGGCTGCCCCAGGTGGGAAGTTGGGCTGTTCCTTGACAGAGAGGGGAAGGTTTGGAGGGACATGGAGAGGTGTGTGTGGAGGAGAGACGGCAGTCTTGGAGGGCCTTGTTCTGCAGACACTGCCCGGGACATGTCTGATCCCTCGGTTGGTGGGTCCCCCCTCTTACCTGCGTTTACTGTGGAGAGATGCTGTTTCTGCTGTTTCTCTGTCTCCAGCGCTTCCCACAGAGGAGGAAGCACAGACTGCTAGATGTTGAGTAGTTCACAGACCACGTAGGTTACTAACCATATGCATGAGATTCACGACCCATGAGAAGCGTCTTCCTTCTCTGCCTTCGAATATTGATCTCCCAGCTCAGCTCCTGAATGGGCAGGTTGCACTGGGCCTTTCAGTGATGTTCTGGAGCGAACAGTCTGGGACCTGAGGAGTGGGCTGTGCAGATAGTACCCAGCCCCGTCCTCCAGTCATCCAGCCTCCTTGCTCTGGGAGAGGGGGATGGTAGGTAGGTGAGGGTCCTCTGTGTGTTTTGACTCCTGCCTGGGGACCGGTTGCCCTTCAGGCACATGGGATGGGTGGGTTGAAGGGCCAGCAGATCTTTCTGATCTGGGATGATGACCCGTGCGTGATGCAGCTTAAATCTTTCTGAAAAGAGAATTCTCAGGATGCTTGGCAGGTTGGCACATTTCTCACCAAGGAGATCAACTTTCCTCTGAGGACAGATTCTGGCAGCAGAATCTCAGAGTTCCTTTTTTGGACTTGGTCATCTCTGGCATGGATTTCCTTGTCGCCAGAGGGCTGCAGTGCATGGTAATGAGGTTATGCAAGAGTTGCCTCATGCACGACGTTTGGGCCTTAGCTGGGATCCCTGCACTGGCCGTGATGGGCCTCTTGCTGCTGGCTCGCTCACTCCCAGCCTTGCCAGCCCTCTGGGGCCTCGGCTCAGAGGTTGATACCTTCTGCTGGTCAAACAAGTGACGAAACCAGCCCAGACTCAAGGGGTGGGGCCCCAGACTCTGTTTCTTGCTGGAGGACTGCCAAAGTCATGTTGCAAAAGGGTGTGGACACAGGCAGGACTCACTGGCGGTTATTTTTGTAACAGCCTCCCACACTCATCTCTGACATTGTAGAGGTTTGAATAAATTCTTGTTGACTTTGTTTTTTTTTTTTTAACTCACGAAAAGGACATGCTACTGTTTTTCTTAGGGTGGTGGTGGGGCAGTTAATGGAGGAATCGGGTCAGCTGACCTAAAACAAGCCTTGTTTTCTCGACACGTCGTCTTGCTAGGGCTGCCTGGCTTCTCCCCCGGGTCTCCTAAGCAGTGGTTCTCAAAGCTTGGTCCCAGACCAGCTTCACCTGGGCGCTGTCTGATTCTGGGGCCCCACCAGATTTCACTGAGGCAGAACCTTTTGGGAGTGGCAGGCAGTCTGGAGTCTAGCAAGCCCTCCAGGAGAGCCTGACGCTAAGATTTGAGAATCACTGCTCCTGGGTGTACGCGTGGCTTTTACCTCCTTTCTGACCAGTTCGCCCTCTCCCAGGCTCTCTGTCTCCTAGAATTAGTGTATTCTTGGTGTCAGTGTAAGACTGTGGTTTTTTGTTTTTGTTTTTGTTTTATTGCCCAGAGGACCCTTACTAACCATCTGTCCCTGTGCCCAGGCACACGGGTATAGAAGTAAGACGTGAGCCCTGAACACCTCAGTGTGGCATGGGAGGCAGTGTGCCGTGGGAGGGTAGCCAGTCCCGCGGGCACGATGACACGTTCAGTTCATACATGCCGAGCTTGCGGCACCCGGGTCAAAAGAGGTACCTAGCAAGTGATTGATCTTAGGAGTTAAAAACTCAGAAGGCAGGGCTGGAGCCAGCAGTTGGAAAGTTACCATACACATGATAATTTACAACAGTTTTTTCTCAAAAGTGCCTGTGCAGTGGGGGTCTTTTAAAAATATGGATTATGCAACCCCCCTCCACCCCCCTTAGGACTGTGAGAGTGTTTGGGGATCTCTCAGTGTCCCAGGAGATTCTGACCAGCCAGGTGTGAGGAAACGTTGTCCCAAAGCCTGGGGAGAAGAAGGACAGAGAGAACCAGAGGCCAGGTCTGGAACCTGGGGTAAGGTGGCGGGGTGGATGGCCTTAATGACGGACCAGCACAGGGAGAGTCTGTGCGTGGAGGATCAGTCCTTGAAAGATAATGGTCTATGTGTTATCACCACAAGGAAGAGCAGTCAGTCCTGCGAGTTACTCAAGTTTCCCTCCTTTTCTGTCTCTCCTACAGAATCTAAAAGCAGATCCTGAAGAGCTTTTTACCAAACTGGAGAAGATCGGGAAGGGCTCTTTTGGTGAGGTGTTCAAAGGCATTGACAATCGGACTCAGAAAGTAGTCGCAATAAAAATCATTGATCTGGAAGAGGCTGAAGACGAGATAGAGGACATTCAACAGGAAATCACAGTGCTGAGTCAGTGTGACAGTCCGTACGTCACCAAATATTATGGCTCCTACCTGAAGGTAAGGCTTAAAAATGCAGACGCGATTTTCCATGACGCAGCACCTGCCCGAGATGCGAGCCGCATGCGGAAAGGACTTCAGTGAATAGCACAGCAGGTTTTCAGAGGAAGAGAAATGTTCCGACCTTTGTAGTCAGAAGAACCAGGCTCTGACGGTTTTATCATCTTAAATGTCACTGATAGAAATATATTTTTAGTAAAAGTGTTTGATGTTTGACATTCCCTTTCAAATTAGAAAGTATTTCTCAGAGTTTGTCGTCAGAAACACATTTCTTATTAAGCTATTCTAACAACAACCATTAATCACCCAATTTTAGCATGGTTTATGAATTTATGATTAAAAACTTAGGCCAACCTAAGATTAGCCTTTTGATACTTTCAGTTATCAAATGTGACTTAATTTTAATGCTATTTTTAAAAGCTGCTATGAATTGAGAATATTGATTAGTGAGCTGGTTTATCTCCATTTGACTTCTAAGAATTCTAGGTTAGTAGATAATTAGATAAAATAGTTGCAGTACAGTACTATAAATTGCCTTTGACCTTCCCCACAGTTCTTTAAAGAATTGTATTAAAAATGATCCCCCAGTCCCGTGTAGAACCGTGTCGTAGTAATCATGTTCTACCACTAAAAAGGTCTAAGACTGCCTCTTGTGTTTCTAGTTCCTTGACATACCCCTGTTTTACTGCACTTAGAAATGTAGTATCTTTCAAATGGAGTTTTGGAAATCTTAAGTATTGGTTAAAAAACAGAAAATTCTGAAACAATTCTTGTGGAAAACAAACCTTCGCAGGGTAGAAAGAACTTCTTCCTGAAGGGGGCAGCAGTAAGCCCGACAGTGTGAGACCCTGCCTCCTGGGTTGATCCTCTGAATTCTCCGTGTTGTAGCCCTCTGCCTGCTCCGACGTCAGAGGGATAGTGCAGGCTTAGGTGTTGTGGAAATGTGGTGGTAAGGTATGGATGGAAGGATGCAAAATTTGAGAACCATTGGGTCACTAAATATTTAAAGGAAATAAAAATTGATTGGTAATTCTGTGTTTTCTCATTGCCTGAAGAATGGCAGTATGACATAGGTCAATGCAGCGTTTTGAAATGGGGAGAATACGTTTCGGAGTCCAGTTGTCCTGGACTTGAATCTTGCTTGTCCTGCTGTGTGGCCTTGAGTTTAAGCTTCCTTGCTTCCTCATTTGTAAAATGGAAAATTATGGTATACACCTCACTGTTGTGAAGATTAAATGGAATTAAGGATGTAAAAGTACCTGGCACATAGAAGGTACTTAACAAGTGTTAATTTCCTTCTTTAATTGGTTGGGTTTATTCCCACCTCATCTCTGAAATTACCTTACGATGAAGGACGCATCCACTAAGGTGGAAGCAAGGAGGAGCAAGCTTGCCAACAGTGGCAGTGGGTGTGGCTGTGGGGAGCAGCCAGTTTGGGTCTTGACAGAAAGGGAAGCCCTGTAAGTTTTACCATTTTCATGATGCAAAGAGGAGAGACGCGACTTCCATATGGGAAAGCGAAGTTCTTCTCGATGTTAACGTTCTACTGAGAGAAAGCAAACAGCCGAAGAGACTCAACTTGAACTCTGTCTACTGTATCACTTTGTGAAATGACTTCAAAGTAGTTTTATACTGAAGTCAGAGCTGGGTTTCATGTGGTCTGCTGACATTGTATTTTAATATGACTTATGGTAATTTTGGCAAAGGAAGTGTGAAGATCTTCACAAATTTTTGCTGACTTACACCAACTGATATTTAACTATAGAAGTTAAGGATCAATGGTTCGAAAGTATTGCCTTCAACTTCAGCGCCTCAGCAGAATTCTTACTGCATGCTGGAGTAGATTGCTTTATTGTGGCCAAATGTGATGCCACCTTGACTGTACATGTCTAGAGAGTCCACCTGGTATGTCCCTTCTTCCCTGAGTCACTAATTCCAAGTCAGTCTAACCTTCATCTAGAGTTTCCCAGTGTGTTTATCAGCTTATCAGATTTATCAACATAATATCAGCTGCTAGCATAAACACCCTAAATTTTTAATGGCTCAGATACGACAGAAGTTTATTTCTTGCGCCCTGATCCTGGGTGGTTTTCCTCCAGTTACTCAGGAACCCAAGTTCCTTCTGTCCTGTGGTTCTTCCTTCCTTCCATCCTCCACATGTGGCTGTGCTCGTCAGGTGTAAGTCATCATGGGGGCAGAAACTGGAGGCTCCTGTGGGGAGTTTTCCTGCCCAGGCCTGGGCACAGCACCTTGTTCCCATGCACATCCCCCGGCCCGAGCTCTAGCACACGGCCACACCCCACCCAGGGGAGGCTGGGAAGTGCCACCCAGTCGTGTACCACGTGGAGGAGGAGGTGGGCTTGATGCTTCACTAGATGTCCTTTCCACAAAGCCACTCTAGAGGAAGTAGAGTGACTTCTGGAATGATTTTTTCCTCTGACTGTCTTCAGGTAGGATGGGAAGTTGTAATAATTTTGTCTGTAGTGCTGTATATATTTTACCAGGCAGACTGGCCTTCAGGAAATAGAACTGCCTCAAGAATTCCAGGAGTAATATCGCCACTGTGAAAAGTTGCCCTTAATTTCTTAAACCTTTCTGTTGAATTTGACGAAAATAAACAGGGCAAGACTCCAGACCTGTGGTTCTGCCTGTTCTCGTGTAACAGAGTCTCATAAAGTTCCTGGGCCCAGAGGAGACCCTCATTGATGAGCCAGGGGCTGTTTTCCCATCATCTCTGGGGATTATGAAGTTTAATTAGCATGGTCCAAACTGTTGAGTAAGATACAAATTAATGTGTCATATAAAACAAATGGTCTTGGACACAAAGTAGGGAATAACTGTTTGGTGAGGTTTTCATTGCCCTCCTGAACAGCCCCTGGCTTTCAGAGCTGGGATTCTGCGTTGTTTGGGTGGTGATGGGGAGAGGGCCTCAGGAATTCGCCTCGTGTTAGGGACTTTTACATGGCGGGATTGCATAAAGAAATTAGAAGCTGGCTTCTTCATTGCTGGGTTAGCATCAGGAGGTCTCATAATTATGTTTTAGTTTTAGTCATAGAAGAAGAGATTAAAGACAATGGATAAGCGGTCAAAATGTGCTGAATGTTGCTGAAGATCAGGAGATTGGAGTTAATTTTGACTGTGTAGCTCTGATCAAACCACAGAATTGCTGTGTAGCATGTTTTTTCCCCAAATGGTGAAAACAAAACCAACATTGACAATTTAGGGAGGAGGGGGAGTAAATGCATCAGTGAAAACTTACGTTTATATGATGAGTCTGAGGCCTGGAAAGGTCTTGAAGGTGATCATGCACCACTCATGCACCACAGAAGAACCCCGTTCGTTGTAGTTTGTTTGATTCTGGGGAGATTAGACCAGCCAGACTACTAGCCAGAAGCCTTTGCAGCCCGTCTGCTACACCGCTGGCGCTTTCTCCCGCAGAAGTACCGCCCACGGCGTCATCATGTGGCCCTGTGCGTGTGTGCGTTTGGGAGGGGGGTGGTTTGGGAGTGGTGTGCAGGAGAGAGAGACTTTCGGTTTTATAGTTTAATTAGGCAGTGAAGACATAATAAGATTGTAGCAGTGGACGGCATGATGTCATGGAGTCTAAGTCTGATTTCTTTTTAAGCAGTACTCATCGTGCTGCTCGTTTGTTCAGCAGTAACGTGGAGATTGCCAGCCTTTTAGCATCTCTGCTTTGAGATTCACTTATAGTCATAAGCCAGGATTTTTGTCTGTGATCCCTGTGCAGGTACTTAACTGTCTGCATGTTTTTCCCACTGCTGACTTCCTCAAGGACAGATGCAGATAAATATACTTACCTTACAGGATTACTGTAAAGATCGAGATTATAGGTAAAATACCTGGCATGTTAGGAGATTTTCAGTAAATGATAACTTTTCCCTTAATAAAAAAATTCTTAAATTACCTTGCCAAATGACTCATAATCACAAATCTTAAAAACATTATTAGCATTCTAAGCATTAGGTTTATTATTTTCTTTTGTAGTAAATTATTTAATACTCCCAAACATCGGGCCAGTTTAGCCAAAGCAAACTAGGTGCAATGCAAAAAAAAAAATAATAATAATAATAAAATGCTGCATTTATCAAACCTTTACTTCTCCTAGTTATTTTTGTTATAGTATCGATATGAAGGAAATATGTCCGTTGAGTGAATAGTTGTTTTATAGTTGATTCACTTCCTTTACTTAAAAACTTTTAGGGTTGTTTTGCCAACTGGATTCATCTGAAAACTAGTACAGGCAAGTTCTTTGATATGTTTTAGTGTCGTATGTAAGTATGGTTATTCCGTTAAGGGGTTGATTGTGTATTATATACATTACAGACACACGTCGGAGTAATTTTTTAAAGTTATGTTCTTTGGACTTCTGATTTACCTTTTTTTTTTTTTCCTTCCCCTCTTCCTTACCCAAAGGGAAATAGTAGTTCCTGATGAAATAGAAAACCCAGTCGTTTTACCCTTAGGGAAGGAGGTAAAGAAATGTTCTGTAAATGATGGGCCCCTTGTGACTGAGGCTCCTGGGGAGGCTGCCCCGTCTTCACTTCTTGTTCCAGCATAACTATACAGCTGTCTCTTTACTTTCAGAAGCATCCTGGTTTGGACAATAGACTATAATCATCTTGTTACGCTTTGTATTGTTACGCTTTATACCCAGAAAAGACCAAAACAAAATTGCAGTCTTTCCCTTGCCCATATTCATACTGTGTTATCATTCCGTGGTCTCTGTATAATTTGTTCCCACTTGGGGCTGTTATGAATAATGTTGTGATGCACATTAGTGTACAAGTGCTGTGTAGAAATGTTTTCATTTCTGTCGGGTGTGTACCTAGGACTGGGACTGTTGGCTTATATGGTAACTCTGTGTTTACCCTTTCGGGGAACTGCCAGGCTGTTTTCCAAAAGTACCGGCACCATTTTACATTCCCACCAGCAGTGAGTTAAGGGTTCTGATTTCTCCACATCCTCATTGAATTCTTTATCATGGCCGCCCTAGCGGGTATAGGTGGCATCTCATTGTAGCTTTGACTTACATTTCCCTCGTGGCTAATCATGTTGCGCCTGGTTTGTCTACTTGTTGCCAACACTGATGTAAAACTTCCCAGTTTTTCTCAATCTCATAAGTGTAATGTAGTGTTTTATTATGCTTATTTGAATTTCTTTTAATAGGTTTGAGTGTCTTTGCATATATTCTTTGCTTTTAGGATTTCTTGCTCGGTTGAATTTTGTTCACATCTTTTGTGAAGTTTTCCACTGGCTTTCCCGTGTTGCATTGTTTATTTTAATACCAGTTCTAGATATCACAAGTATTTTCTCTGACTCTGTTGCACTTTTAACGTTGAGGTGTCTTCTTGTTGAAAAAAATCCTTAATTTTAATGTGGTTAAATCCATTAATTTTTAACTGTCTGATTTCTGCTTTTGGGGATCCTGTTTAAGGAATCCACTAGTTTCCCTAAGGTTAAAAATAGAATACATTTTTTTTCTTCTGTTGGCTTTATAATTTTACCTGTTACATTTAGGTCTTTTATCTGTCTGGTGTACAGTATGAAGTAGGGATTTTTTTATTCTCCATGTAGAGATAAGTTGTATTTATTGTATAAAATAGTGTTTTCTTCCCTCATATATGATGTTTTATTATACACCAAAGTCCCATGTATTTCTAGGCCTCTTTCTGAGTTTTCAGTTCTATTCCTGGACCAGTATCGTTCATTCATGGTGTGTGTGTGTGTGTGTGTGTGTGTGTGTGTGTGTGTCTTGTGTGAGCTTTAATACAGTTAAAAAATTTTTTGCATAAAGAACCTGCAGATTCATAGGTTGGTTCCTAGACACGTAGTTTTTATTGTTATTTTGAATGATGTATTTTTAGGCTGGTTATTGCTTAGTTAAGGGAATGAGTATGATTTTTCCCCCCACCTTGTTTCTGTCAATCTTGCTGAACTCCTGCACAGTTCTTTATAAGTTTGAATTTACTGTCATATTAAATATGCTTCATACGTTGGTTTTAAGTTCCACTTTGGTACTTTCCCTCTGTGTTTTGGGCCAAGTGGGTTTATGGGATAATACAGCTTCAGCTTGAGGGAACAGAATTTGGGCTTGGGGGAAAGTCTAGTTTTGAGAAATATCATGAACGAGCTGGAGATGATGTCTGGTTAGAAAGGAGGGCGATGGTTTGCCTTTTTCATTCTTTTCTAGCCATTCTGACCCCATGTTCGAGATCTGGAGATGACCTACCTCTGAAGATTGGTCCCGACTCGGAGTGAAACTGGCAGTGTGGTCACCTGGTTGGACCTGTGTCCTTTTCTGCAAATAAAGAGACTGGGCGCATTTAAATGCCTTCCAGTTCTACCTTGGCTTAGCTTGCCATTTAATAAAGCATTTCTTGTGCACAGAGAAATTAGAACCATTGGTTATTACAGCAGGAAAGGACCTCAGAGGCTCCTGGCCCCCACTGTTTATTCTCTAGATGAGAAATGGTGGCGCGGAGGAGAAGTGATTCCCAGGGTGGGTGGTTGAGCTGGGGCACAGGGCCAGAGGTTCCTGATTCCTGTTGCACCAATGGCCACCCTGCACCTGACTGCTGTCCCCCCAGGTTCTGCTCTCCTTTGTCCTTACGGGAAACCCTCCTACAGAGGGTTGCCGATGTTCAGTGGGTGGCTGAGCCCATTTGATGGAAGCTAAACTATTCCTTCCCGAGGAGGGAGTGCTCCATGGCTGCTTAGTGAGCCTGCCGCCCTCTCCTCCCCTTCGGGGATGATGGAGCACCTGCAGGAGTGCAGTCTGGTGGCATCACCTGAGGAGTTTAAAGTTCCTGAGTCCTGGCCCCACCCTCAGACTCGCTTGTCTTTGTTCTCAGCTGGGTGGGGCCTGGATGATGGAAACTGTAAGAGCTTCCTGGAGATTGTAATGTGAAGTCAGGGGTGAAAACCTCTGATGTGTAGGGTCACCTTCAGGGAACGGGCATCAGCAGAGACCAGCAGCACACAGAAGGGCGTTACCACCAAGATGCTTTCAGTCTTAGAGAAAATGCCAGCTCAGAAGGTTCCAAGAGTGTGCGTTTCCTATGTGGCAGAAATCCCAGAAGAAGGGCAGCTGCAGGTGGGGACAGCGGCTGGTCAGCAGTGCTGGGGGATCTGGGCTCCTCCTGTCCTCTCTCATTGCAGTCCTCGGGGTCTGACTCTGCCTGTGTGTGGATACACGGCTCTTCTTTCCTGGAAGAGTTTCTTAAGGCTCAGGAAGCCTTTCTCAGGTGGTGCGGGCACCTTCCCTCAGGTTTCACTCATCAGAGCTGGGTCACAGTCGCGACAGCCCCTGGCGGGGGTGGAGGGGTATACAGGGCCACCTCATTGGCCCCCACCAGGCAGGAGTTACTGCGAAGCTAGAAGAAGGGTGGGCTTCCCAGAGTCACAGAGTTGGGGGAGGGAGTGGGGTTGGTTGAGTGGCTCAGCCAGCAGTGCCTCTGACAATGAGTGCTCCTGGCAGGTCCTGCCCATGAGGGCTGATGTGTCCATTTCTGGAGTATCCACTGTGCCAACACCATCTTGCAGAATCCGGCATCTGCTTACACGCCAGCATTCCCTGTGCACGTGGCCAGTGAGGTCCCACCGGGAGTTTGGGCAAGTTAGCCGGACAGAGAACCTGCAGGCCCCTGGCCCAAGGGCACCATGTCACACTTGCTTGAATCTGAGGCTGTTTGGTGTCATCTTCAAAGGACCATATGGTCCTAGTGTTGAATTCTTACTTACTGCCACCTTAATTCTCAAGTAGTCCAACAGCAGAAATTCTTGCTTCGCACGTGTAAAGTGTTTTATTTTCTCTCTAATGCATACATGATGTTCAACTCTGTAGCTCTTGTGTGTCGAGGGCCTGAATTTGAATGTGCTTCAGTAGCTCTGGCCACTCTGACATAGATCCAGACGCCTGGCCCATGCCTCAGCGGCAAGAGCTGGCTGTCACACGAGCCCTGCGGGCCAGCCCTGTCCCTCCCACACCTTTGCTTTCACCCCGTCTCTGCCAAGAATCCCAGTTGTGTTCTGTGGTCCTGTGGCTTTCCTTGTCAGCGCCACCTGCCTTATTGCTCTGTCGTGGATGGGTCTGCGGTCGCCCGTGTATTCATAAAACTCTTTGTGAGTAGATGGCCCCCCTCCTTTCTTTGTATGCTTGATGCACAGACGACTAAACAGAATTCTGATTTCTGTTATTCACATTACTGTGATGGCAAGCATCAGATATCTTCAGGCATTTCTTTGAAAGAAAGGGTTTTTTTTATTGAAAAGAAGGACATTGTGGTATGATGTGCAGTAAGACATACACAGACAGCTTTCTGGCTGTGCGGTTAGTCAGGAAGTGCTGATGTTTGGTATTGGGTGTCTGTTGACTTACTGCAGGTTGAATTGCTAAAAGCAATTTGTGTAACCTGTTCAGTAAACCAAGCACTGTTACACTGGATTAGGTATTTAACTTCGTTTACTGGGTGTTGATGATTTTTCCTTGACTTAGTTTGAGACTGGCTTTCTGATTATATGCTTCAGTTGTGTCTAACGACTTTTCCCTCGTTATAAATAGGAATCAGCGGAGATTGGTCAATGGCAAGGTTGGTTATAGACCAGTGCTTATAGAAGCTAACCACTCACAGTTTTTTGTTTATATCTAAGCCTTTTCTCTTGCTTTTAGCCAAGGCTGGTATAGAGTGCCGCATGGATTTTGGAGTCATTATTGGTCACATTTTTTTAAACAGGTATGAGGTGGAGTTCGCTTGTGTTGAAATGTTTGTTAGAAAACATTGGTTCCTTAAAAGTAATGATCAGCTGTTGTCTGAGAAGGAAATGTTACCACGTTTACTTTCTGCGCGGAGGCGTGGCGTCGAAGACCTCTTGCGTTTCTCTCATCTCCTTTATCACTTACCTAGGTGCATCTGTATTGCCGGGCACTTTGTGTTTTGAAAGTTGAGATCCATTCAGAGGCTGACAGACTTGTCCGTAGGAGAAAGAGGGCAGAAATGTGCCAGATGCAAAACCACAATGATTTCTTTGATTGCAGGGACCTTTGGGCCAGCTTGCGGTAAGAACTTGCCTTTAGAAGATCCTTTGGTTCCCATCAGTGTCTCCCTCTCCTCAAAGGGATGGCAGCCCGATGGACAGTGGGCACATGACCCCAACATGGACAGACTTCCACGGAGGTAAGCTGCTGTCAGTGCCGCCCAGAGAGACCTGTGCCTTCCTCATCATCCCCAGGCTCTGCCTCCACCCACACCTCGGGCATATGTGTCGGAGGCCCTGAGGCTTACTCTGTGTTTCCAGCCAGGGCCAGGGTTCTGCCGCGTCACATCTGCAGGGCTCAGAGATGAGTGGAGCGCCAGGCAGCTGTGGCTGCACCTCCTGGTGGAGGACAGGAGGTCCTGGGATGATGGTCTTGAGCCCATGGTCAGCCCTTCATGGCTCTGTGTCTCACTCACTGCACATTGGGCTCAGTGCTGGTCATTGTGAGCCATTGTTGCCATTTGGGGACAAGTTACACAGAGTCTGTTTCCCTTCTTGCTTGTATCAGTGGAGACACTTCTGATGGGGTTGCCGAGTCTGGTGCCAGCGTGTGCAAATGACACAGACGAAGCCCTGAACTTTTAGGATGTATTGCTCCAAATCTTGACCCAGGGAAAGCATGATAGACCAGAAGCCTGCGTTTCTCTAGACGGCGGGTCACGGTCTGGACAGGCTTGATTGTTGTTGGCTGTGTTGCTTTGTTCTTCAAGAAATGGATGTATCAGAATCAGTTAGCCTGTTTCTTAGCAGATTTTTTGTTGTTTTGTTTTTGTCTTTAAGAGCTTAGGTTTTGGGGTTCAAAAGAGGAGAAATTTTAACTTGTCTCCTTGGGAAAATGTGCTGAGAGTAAAGTTTCAGTTGTACTGTTGGAATGTCAGACTTTGCAAAGTGAAGTATGGTTGCTGAGAGAAATGGATTTGAACACAAGTGTCATCTTGCTCACTTTGTTACTGGACCTCACAGCGCCCTTTCTGACGGTGAAGAGAGTGAGCTGCTGTTGCAAGACTGCTGGCCGCGCAGGTCGGAGGAAGCGGGGTGGTTTTGGTGTTTGCATGGCTGTGTCCTCAGCACGAGAGGGGCTGCTGGGGCCTCTGGTCAGGGAGAGTCATTGCAGGGTTTTAGTGAGGGGCAGGCAGGCACCTCACTGTGAACATTTCCTTTATGACAACTTTACTCATTTCTACAAAAGGGAAAATCTTCATTGTCAACCCCCCCTTTCTTTGTGGGAGGGGGTGATTTATTCTGACCCATTAAGATCATCCTGACTGTCGTAAGGATCTCCTCTCAGAGTCAGGGGCACTGCTGGGAGCTGTGCCCTTGTGAGGCTCTGGCTAGTGTGGAGATTATCAGGGAGATTATCTCCTGCTTCTTACTTGCTCTGACTTTCTGGGTCTCCCATACTGTGTTTACTTTCTAAGAGGCGCATTCAGACACTTGCAATCCCTTGCTCTTTCTTGCACGGACCGTGCGAACAAGGCGGCGGCAGGTGGCCAGTACAGACTGGACTTCGTGTGATAGCAGGAGGTTGTGAACTCAAGGTTATTGCGTGAATTTAATCTGGCTTCACTCCTTGGTTTAATAATGCTTGATATTACTTTTTCTGGTTTTAATCAAGTTTCTGCCTCTATTTCATTTTTGGGAAACTAGAACTGGTCCATGGGAGTAGCTGTCAGCAGGCGTGGCGCGTCCTTCGTCTCTGGCTCTGTGAGTCTTCTTTGAGCAGATGATCACTGGGTCTCTGAGCCTCTGCTGGGTGTGTCACAAGTGTGCAGAGTTGTGTCTATCTGTAACTTGTTTCTAAAAAGAGTCTCTTGGCAAACTGGGATCTGTTTAGCAGTTGGGTTTAGGACTGACCCCTAGAGCACATTTAACTAGTGTTTACGTGGGCCGTACTGAAAAAATGCATGGAAAGTATTTCCAGTATATTTCGTGAGGTGTGTGAGCCTTAGTTACTTGGGACGTGAAGTGTCTTTCCCCACAGGTAACCCTCACAGGGATTTGCTTTTTGAACGTTGTTAGTGGGATTTCATGCATGTGAAGAAAGTACTTGGGCCTCTGAGTGCTGCCCTCTCCCTCCAGTAGCATGTTGTGACTGTGTGTTGAAGTCGCCTGTGTTGGTGTCTGAAGGTCACCCTCTCTCTTGATCCTAAGACCCAGTTTCTGGGTCTCCAAGACCTCGCGACAGGTCCCTCTGTCCCTCCTGCGACCACCTGTCATGACACAATGATCTCTGTGCCCCCAGAGCCCCGCTGCCCTTGCCTCACTGGCAAGGAGGGCAGGGGAGGGCTCTGCACCTGGAGCGGCTCTGGTTAGTGAGGGGCAGGGGTTGGGTGTCAGGGCTAGGGCAAGGCGGGGCCATGGCCTCCTGGATCCATTCTTCAGAGTTTCTCCAGCGCCGGCTGAGGATTTTCAGCCAAGACAGCAGCTCAGAAGAAGGAAGGAGCCTTGACTGGCTTTGGAGACTCTGGGAGAAGCCCGGGTGACCACACCTCTTGAGACAGAGGGTGAGAGGATGGGGAGATGCTCTTCACAAAGACTGAACTGAAGAAGGAGAAGACAAGCCAGGCTGGGACTTGGGGAGCTGCCTCACCCACTGCTTGGCTGTTTAGTGGCGTGTTGGAGGTCAGATAAGTTAGTGTGAAGTGTGGTCCATCACACCAGTCAGTTGTCTACACGCACCCAAGTCCCCTCCTTTGTTATAAAGGTAGCGTGGTTTTCTGCTCCTGAATTAAAAAAAAAGTTACACTTGAAAAATTGACGGAGGTGATTTTGGCCTCTTTGCTGCCCTGGGGCTCTGGGAGTGTGCAAAGGGCCCCTTCGGGGGTCCTGCTCCCCACAGACCATGGCAGGGGCCCTGTGAGGCTGTGTAAGCGACCCCTACCTCCGCTCCTGAAAACCCAACTGTGTTCAGTCGCTTTGGTTAATTACAGACTCAAGAGTTTGAAACCACACATGAGATGTGAATGATGTGATGTAAATACTGTTGGAACCCTCTGTTGTTTCCTTTTCTTTTTTTTTTTTTCTTGCATTCTCATTTCAAAGTTTAAGCAATAACTTGAATGAGCAGACTCTTCCTAGAGAGACAGTGTATTGGCTAGTCTGACACAGACCTGTTTTTTTATGCATGTTTTCCTTGTCCTGTGTGGTAAGAAAAGGGGTGGGTGCTGGAGGACAGTGAGGTGTTTGACTTTCAAAGTCATCAAAAAATGTAAGCATCCCATGGTTCTCATAAGTCTGAATAATGAAATTTGCCACTAATGTCATTCCCGCTGTGGTCAGACCTGCCCAGTCTTTGTCGGCTGAACCTCACTGCTACCATGCAACTGGGCTCCACGGACTGGCGGTGGTGGGATGGCTGGGAGGGTCGCAGACTGACTGGAGCTGCTGGCTTGCCTCAGGGACCGCTCTGAAGGGGCTTTGAGCTTAAGGTAGCATTTCTGGTTGAGTCCCGCTCTTGAAGATGTTAGTAGGTGCTGCCTGATGAAATGTTTGGGCACGTTGGGGCCAGTAGGTTTCTGTTACAGTATTCTCAGAGCTTTTGAGACTCTCTAAGGGAAGTTTAATGTGCAGCATCTCCTCAGTGTATTTCTTTGTGGGCCCTCCCCCCGCCCCCATAGCATACATTTCAATTCTACAAAGTCCCTGCGGGGTGCCTCTGGAAGTACTTCCCTAGTCGGCATTAGGAGGATGAGCTGTAGAAGACATCACATGTGGTTACGAAGGTGAGGCCGGAGATGCCGGAGATGCCAGAGATGCCACGTTAGCGCTGAGTAACTTTCTGTGGCTCTCTTGCTGTTTTGCTTCCTTGAGAAAAGCATTTGTTAAAGTGTTGGTGGATTAAAAACTGGATGAATTGACAAAAGGACTGTGAAGCATGAAATAAAAGGCAGTTACTGAAATAGCATGTTAATGTTTTAAACAGTTTCACTTTTCAGTAAATAGTTTTCTGAGTGAAACTGGGGGATTTAGGAAAAATAAGCTGTAAAGTATCTGTGCATGTCTTTTGCGTAGGAAGCGCAAAGTAATATTAGCACACACACAAAGGTTACAGAGCCGAGACCCATGGGAGGTTTAAAATCTTAATGAAAACAGAAACTACTGGGGGTTTGGGGGCATTTGATTAATATCACATTACCGCAAAATCTTTTTGTCTCGGTTTTTCTTAAAATCTTGCTAAAGAAGTTTCTAAGATTTCCTCTGCCCCAGCTGGGGTGTGGTTCGCTTTTTGCTCACTTAAGGAACACTTGAATATTAATAAGCCACTTTGTTTGGTGCGTGGAGTAGTGTGGGCCAGGCAGCGAGGACCCCTCACATCCGGGAAGTGTGACAGCCTTTTGCTTCCCGGAATTTCTAGTGTCTCCGTTCGACGTTCTGTACGTTGGTCACTGTTGGTGGTTGGCTCCCATTTCCTGCTTGGTCGTTGCTCTCTCATCTAGTCCAAGCCTTTAACTACCACCCGAGCTCCCAGATCTCAGTGCCTGGCCCCGACCCTCCCTAGGCCTCGGATCCCACTTAGAGAAACAGCCGCCTGAACGGCTCCCCAAGAATGACCCCGGGAACTCATGTCCAGCCTGCCCTCTGATGAGCTCGGCCTCTGTAGTCACAGGGGTCGGTGGGATGTCCTTATTTAATCCAGGGGCCGTAACTTAGAGCAGGAACACACTGGGGGACTTTGAAAACTGCAGGTGCCCCATTCCACCCCTGAATGGGGATTTCGGGGATTTCGAACTGTGTTCATGAGCAACCCAATTTAAATTCCTGAGGCGCAGGATCCCCCATCAGCCGCGCATCAGAGATGCCTTAGAGATGTGCTCAGGCTTTAAAAGGGTGAACCGGTCAAGAACGTTAGGCCTTTAATTGAAGCTGTTTTCAAGGGGCCAGTGTCGGAGGCCCTCATCAGGTCACCAGTGGTCTCCAGGAGACAGTATCTGGAGATGGAGTTACCAGCGTGTTCTCCACCAGCGGCTGTCTGGGGTGGTTGGCCTCACGGCTTTCCTTCCCGCCTGCAGGGCCCTGCAGGCAGCTGGAGCTGGAGCAGGGAGCCCTCCTACCTCTGACGGGGATGTAGGCCCCTCGTTCAGCCCTGGCTGGGAGGTTCCAGTATGCCAGGTGGGCTTGGGGCCTGCAGAGGGGGCTCCGG